GAGCGGGGACTCGAGACACGGTGGCGAAGGGACGAGGACCAGTACCTCGGGAATCTCGCTGAGGAAGATGAAGGCCCATTTCTCCGTAGTCGAGCTCCGTCTCGCCTCCCAAGCCCTGGGGAAGCTGGACGCCAAGACATCCGCGCAGATGAGCAGACCGATCAGTGGATATATCTCATATCCTGTTGGCGCTCAAGCAGTTGGTTTGGTATATTGAGGCAGCTGTACAGATTGGCTCTCAAGCAGTTGGTTTGGTATTTTGAGCAGCTGTTCCAGGTCGGTCATCAAGCAGTTGGTTTGGTATTTTGAGCAGGAGCCGAGCAAGTGCAGTCATCAAGCAGTTGGTTTGGTATATTGAGCAGCTGCACCAGATTGGCGCTCAAGCAGTTGGTTTGGTATATTGAGCAGCTTGTCGGTCATCAAGCAGTTGGTTTGGTATTTTGAGCAGCTGTTCCAGGTCGGTCATCAAGCAGTTGGTTTGGTATTTTGAGCAGCTGTTCCAGGTCGGTCATCAAGCAGTTGATTTGGTATTTTGAGCAGCTGTTCCAATCAAGCAGTTGGTTTGGTATATTGAGCAGCTGCACCAGATTGGCTCTCAAGCAGTTGGTTTGGTATTTTGAGCAGCTGTGCCAGGTCGATCATCAAGTTGATTTGGTATTTTGAGCAGCTGTTCCAGGTCGGTCATCAAGCAGTTGGTTTGGTATATTGAGCAGCTGTACCAGATTGGCTCTCAAGCAGTTGGTTTGGTATTTTGAGCAGCTGTGCCAGGTCGATCACTCAAGTTGATTTGGTATATTTTGAGCAGCTGTGCCAGGTTCGATCTATGCAGTTGAATTTGGTAAGCAGTTTTGAGCAGCTGTGGTGTCGCAATTCCTGTGCCAGATCCACCAGTCAGCGAAGAACCTCCTGGATTAAAGTTACGCAGGTGATCTCAAAAGCCGAAGGGTGTCAAGGCACCGGGATTGTGGCATCGATACCACGCAGCTAAATTCTGGCGGTGAACCCATGGCACCGGGCTTGTGGCACCAATACCGCGCTGCTAGATTCTGGCGGTGAACCCATGGCACCGGGCTTGTGGCATCGATACCGCGCTGCTAGATTCTGGCGGTGAACCCATGGCACCGGGGGCTTGTGGCACCAAACCGCGCCTGCTAGAATTGGCGGTGAAAGCCCATGGCACGGGCTTGTGGGCATCGATACCGCGCTGCTAGATTTGCGGTGAACCCATGGCAACGGGCTTGTGGCATCAATACGAGCTGCCTAGATTCTGGTGGCGAACCTATGGCACCGGGCTTGTGGCATCAATACCGCGCTGCTAAATTCAGGTGAACCCATGGCACCGGGCTTGTGGCATCAATACCGCGCTGCTAGATTCTGGCGGTGAACCCATGGCACCGGGCTTGTGGCACCAATACCGCGCTGCTAGATTCTGGCGGTGAACCCATGGCATCCGGGGGGGTGAACCCATGGCACCGGGCTTGTGGCATCAATACCGCGCTGCTAGATTCTGGCGGTGAACCCATGGCACCTGGGCTTTGTGCATCAATACCGGCTGCTAGATTTCTGGCGGTGAACCCATGGCACCGGGCTTGTGGCACAATACCGGCTGCTAGATTCTGGCGGTGACCCATTGGCACCGGGCTTGTGGCTCAATACCTGCTGCTAGATTCTGGCGGTGAACCCATGGCACCGGGCTTGTGGCAAATACCAATTCACCCCGCCGCGCTGCTCGTTCTGGCGGTGAACCCATGGCACCGGGCTTATGGCATCAATACCGCGCTGCTAGATTCTGGCGGTGAACCCATGGCACCGGGCTTGTGGCATCAATACCGCGCTGCTAGATTCTGGCGGTGAACCCATGGCACCGGGCTTGTGGACATACCGCGCTGCTAATTCTGGCGGTGAACCTGGCACCGGGCTTATGGGCCCATTACGCGCTGCTAGATTCTGGCGGTGAACCCATGGCACCGGGCTTGTGGCATCAATACGTGCTAAATTCAGGTGAACCATGGCCACGGGCTTGTGGCACCAATACCGCTGCTAGATTCTGGCGGTGAACCCATGGCACCGGGCTTGTGGCATCGTACGCGCTGCTAGATTCTGGCGGTGAACCCCATGGCACCGGGCTTGTGGCCAATACCGCGCTGCTAGATTCTGGCGGTGAACCCATGGCATCGGGCTTGGTGGCACAATACGCGCTGCTAGATTCTGGCGGTGAACCATGGCACCGGGCTTGTGGCACAAATACCGCGCTGCTAGATTCTGGCGGTGACCCATGGCATCGGGCTTGTGACCAATACCGCGCTGCTAGATTCTGGCGGTGACCATGGCACGGGCTTGTGCACAATACCGCGCTGCTAGATTCTGGCGGAACCCATGGCACGGGTGTGCACCAATACCGCTGCTAGATTCTGGCGGTGAACCCATGGCACCGGGCTTGTGGCACCAATACCGCGCTGCTAGATTCTGGCGGTGAACCCATGGCACCGGGCTTGTGGCATCAATACCGCGCTGCTAAATTCAGGTGAACCCATGGCACCGGGCTTGTGGCATCATACGATGCTACTAGATTCTGGCGGTGAACCCATGCACCGGGCTTGTGGCACGATACCGCGCTGCTGATTCTGGCGGTGACCCATGGCACCGGGCTTGTGGCACCAATACCGCGCTGCTAGATTCTGGCTGAAATGGCGGTAACCCATGGCACCGGCTTGTGGCACTACGTGCTGCTCGATTCTGGCGGTGAACCCATGGCACCGGGCTTGTGGCATCGATACCGCGCTGCTAGATTCTGGCGGTGAACCAATGGCAGGGCTTTATGGTATCAATACGAGCTATAGATTCTGGCGGTGACCATGGCACGGGATTGTGCATCAATACCGTGCTGCTAGATTCTGGCGGTGAACCCATGGCATCGGGCTTATGTAAATACGAGCTATAGATTCTGGCGGTGACCATGGCACCGGGCTGTGGCATCCGATACCGTGCTGTTAAATTCTGGCGGTGAACCATGGCACCGGGCTTGTGGCATCATTACCGCGCTGCTAGATTCTGGCGGTGAACCCATGGCACCGGCTTATGGCATCATACGAGCTGCTAATTTGGCGGTGAACACCTGGCACCGGCTGTGGCATCATACGCGCTGCTAGATTCTGGCGGTGAACCCATGGCACGGGGCTTATGGCATCTACGGCTACTAGATTCTGGCGGTGAACCTATGCACCGGGCTTATGGCACCAATACCGCGGCTGCTGATTTCTGGCGGTGAACCCATGGCACGGGCTTGTGGCATCGATACGTGCTGTAAATTCTGGCGGTGAACCCATGGCACCGGGCTTGTGGCATCAATACCGCGCTGCTAGATTCTGGCGGTGACCTATGGCAACCGGGCTTATGTACCGCGCTGCTAGATTCTGGCGGTGAGGCATGTGGCACGGTTAATTTGGCGGTGAACCCAGGCCGGGCTTTGTGGCATCAATACCGCGCTGCTGATTCTGGCGGTGACCCATGGCACCGGGTTATGGCATCAATACGGCTGCTGATTCTGGCGGTGAACACCTGGCACCGGGCTTGTGGCATCAATACCGCGTGCTAGATTTGGCGGTGAACCATGGCATCGGGCTTATGGTATCAATACGGCTACTAGATTCTGGCGGTGAACTATGGCACCGGGCTTATGGCACCAATACCGCGCTGCTAGATTCTGGCGGTGAACCCATGGCACCGGGCTTGTGGCACCAATACCGCGCTGCTAGATTCTGGCGGTGAACCCATGGCGGCTTTGTGGCACCATACGCGTGCTAGATTCTGGCGGTGAACCCATGGCACCGGGCTTTGGCATCAATTGCTACTGCGTGAACCATGGCACCGGGCTTGTGGCAGATTCTGGCGGTGAACCCATGGCACCGGGCTTGTGGCACCAATACCGCGCTGCTAGATTCTGGCGGTGAACCCATGGCACCGGCTTGTGGGCATTACCGCGCTGGCTAGATTCTGTGAACCCATGCACGGGTTTGTGGCACAATACGCGTGCTAGATTCTGGCGGTGAACCCATGGCACCGGGCTTGTGGCATCGATACGCGCTGGCTAGATTCTGGCGGTGAACCATGGCACGGGCTTGTGCACAATACCCGTGCTAAATTCAGGTGAACCATGGCACCGGGCTTGTGCATCTTACCGCGCTGCTAGATTCTGGCGGTGAACCCATGGCATCGGGCTTGTGGCACCAATACCGCGCTGCTAGATTCTGGCGGTGAACCCATGGCACCGGGCTTGTGGCACCAATACCGCGCTGCTAGATTCTGGCGGTGAACCCATGGCACCGGGCTTGTGGCACCATCGCGCTGCTAGTTCTGGCGGTGAACCCATGGCACCGGGCTTTGTGGCACCAATACCGCGCTGCTAGATTCTGGCGGTGACCCCATGGCATCGGGCTATGGTATCATACGAGCTACTAGATTCTGGCGGTGACCTATGGCACCGGGCTTGTGGCATCAATACGAGTGCTAGATTCTGGCGGTGACCTATGGCACCGGGCTTGTGGCACCAATACCGCGCTGCTAGAATTCTGGCGGTGAATCCATGGCACCGGGTTGTGGCATCAATTCACGAGCTGCTAGATCTCTGGGGTGAAACCCATTGGCACGGGCTTGTGCATCAATACGAGCTGCTAAATTCAGGTTGAACCCATGCCCGGGCTTGTGGCATCAATACGAGATTAGATTCTGGTGTGCTATGGCACCCTTGTGGCATCATACGCGCTGCTAAATTGAGGTGACCCACATACGGCAGCTGAACCCGGGCTTATGGCACGCAATACCGCGCTGCTAGATTCTGGGCGGTGAACCCATGGCACCGGCCTTTGGCAACCATACCGTGCTGCTAAATTCAGGTGAACCTATGGCACCGGGGCTTGTGCATCGATACCGCGCTGCTAAATTCAGGTGAAACCCATGCACGGGCTTGTGGCAACCAATACCGCGCTGCTAGATTCTGGCGTGAACCTATGGCACCGGGATTGTGGCACCAATACCGCGTGCTAGATTCTGGCGGTGAACCCATTGGCACCGGGCTTGTGGCATCGATACCGCGCTGCTAGATTCTGGCAGTGAAAACCCATGGCACCGGGCTTGTGCCCATCAATACCGCGCTGCTAAATTCTGGCGGTGAACCTATGGCACCGGGCTTGTGCATCAATACCGCGCCCTGCTAAATTCAGGTGAACCCATGGCACCGGGCTTGTGGCATCAATACGAGCTACTAGATTCTGGCGGTGAACCCATGGCACCGGGCTTGTGGCACCAATACCGCGCTGCTAGATTCTGGCGGTGAACCCATGGCACCGCTTGTGGCACAATACCGCGCTGCTAGATTCTGGCGGTGAACCCATGGCACCGGGCTTGTGGCACCAATACCGCGCTACTCTGGCGGTGAACCCATGGCACCGGGCTTGTGGCACCAATACCGCGCTGTTAGATTCTGGCGGTGAACCCATGGCACGACCAATACCGCGCTGTTAGATTCTGGCGGTGAACCCATGGCTCGGGCTCGATCTATCCTGGCAATGGGGCAACACTCCGCTATATCTCAGAGAGGCAGGGCCACTCCCCTCTCTGGACGGGGAAAAGGGGATCGTTGGGACCAGCAACTCCGTGGCATCGCACTCGCCTGAAGTGGATCCGTCACCGCCTACTGAGGCAACGGAGAAGGGAGCAGTCAAGTCCACGATGGACTTATCCTAGCGCTCCGAGTGTTTGTGGAACACCGTCGTGAGTTTGGTCGTGGGCAATGGTCGTGAGTTTGGTCGTGGGCAATGGTCATGAGTTTGGTCATGGACAATGGTCATGGGTTGTGAGTTTGGTCGTGAGATGCTTGCAGCCTGTACCGACCGCAAGGAAGCGTTTGGCTCGGTGCATCACAGATCGCTTTGGCAGATCCCGGGTCTAAGGGGAATTCCGATGAAGTTCGTTGGACTTACAGCGAGCCTATATTTTGCCACTGAAAGTCCCGTAAAGTGTGGTGGGGGCCCGTCGAGCTTCTCCGCTGCTGATTCAGGAGTGAGGCGACCTAGGAATTCGCGGCTCAGGAAGGTCAGCCAGACCCGTCGCGAGGGGCTAGAGATGAGCCAAAAGCCTACCTGGCATCTCGCCATGGGGGACCCTCGTGGCTGGAAGCGAATGTTGGATGCGGCGAAGTGCCCCCTTTGTCGTTAGCCCCAACGATTGGTTGTAGATAATAGTGTAGGTTGTTGTAAAGGGGGTGTCACGCTGGCACTGTTTCCGTGTTTTATTTTTTTCTTTTTTTTTTTTTTTGTTTTTTTTTTGTTACCGCATGCCTATTGTCCGAATGCGATCATTTACAGTAAAACAATAATCATCATTTTCGCTGGCGTTTCCGTGGTCTTTTTGGTTCTTAGTTTTTTTTTAGTTAGTTTTTGGTTTTTAGCGACTGGTTGTAATTAATAGTGTAGGTTATTATAAGTAATGTTGTAAGTAATTGTAAGTATCGCTGATGCTGGTGTTGTTATTAGGCGCTGAATCCTTATAACTTGGTCTAGTCTGTGACATTTTTTGTTTTTGTTTTTGTTTTTGTCCATATCAACCAGCACCAAAGTTGATGACATTTTCTGCTTATTCATATATTCCTTATTTTGTTATTTAAGAAGTTTGTTTCCTCATCATAACAAGTTTATGCGTTTCTTCATTTGTTTATCTAATTTTGTTTTAGTTGTTCAAATTAAACGTATTGATTGATTATTTGTCTATTTAATTATTCATCTATCATCTCATTTTATTTTAGGCTCTGGACCCCTACGCGTGGTTCTCTGTTTATAACGATCTGTATTTGTCCCCGCACTCTCTCTACATGTATATCTCAAGTATAATTCTTTACTAAATCAAACGTATTAATTTATAAATTGCCAATTTACTTATTTATTGAATTTTTAACTAATCTATCTAGTTTTGTTTTAGGTCCTGGACCCCTACGCCGCGGTCTCTATGTACGACAATCTCTATTTGCCCCCGCGCTCTCTGTCTCTCTCTCTTTCTCCCTCTCTATATTTATTTCTCAAGTATATTTCCTTACTAAATTAAATCTATTAATTCGTTTCTTGCCTATTTATTTATTTATTCATTATTAACTAATTCTTGTCATTTTATTTTAGGTTCTGGACCCCTACGCGGCGGTGGATCTCTACGACGATCTGTATTTGCCCCCGCTCTCTCTATACATGTATCTGAACTATAATTCTTTACTAAATTAAACGTATTAATTTATAAATTCCTTATTTACCTAGTTTTCAATCGATTAACTAATTTGTCTCATTTTATTTTAGGTTCTGGACCCCTACGCGGCGGTGGATCTCTACGACGATCTCTATTTGCCCCCGCGCTCTCTCTGTCTCTCTCTTTCTCCCTCTCTATATTTATTTCTCAAGTATATTTTCTTTACTAAATTAAATCTATTAATTCATTCTTGCCTATTTACTTATTTATTCA